TTCTATCTCTGGTTGGATAGTCAATGCGAGTTTCTATGAGAAGAAGATTTACCGCGATTAATATCCATTAACTGTTTTAATTTAATTTTAATATTAATGCATTTAATATATCAAAACATATCCTATTTATAAGAGTTCTATATATATAAAATCTTATTATTTCCAGTTTATTTTCTAATAATTACAGATAGGGACCAGGTGAGCACGTAAAATCATTTATATACTTGGGCTGTATTATCACGAATAAAAGTTGTGCTGAAAACGAAGTTTCGGCCAATTCAACATTCGGACAGTTCAACAATGTGTGGAAGTCTAAACAAATAAGTAATAGTAAGCTTTTCATATTTAACTCGAGACCATTGTTTTACGGTAGCGAGACGTTGAAAAAGTCGGCTTCTATTCAATAACGCATCCCACTGACCATAAACACTATGTTTCAGAAGAATATTGAAAATATGGTGGCCGGAGTGCATATCCAATACCGATTTATGGGAACGTACGAAAGAAATACAAGCTGTCACTGAATTCAAAAGAAGAAAATGGAAGTGGATTGGCCATGTGCCTAGGAAACCAGGATCCTGTATAACAAAACAACCCTTACGTTGAAATCTACAAGGTAGACACCGGCCTGTAGCCCCAGCTAAGACATGGAGAAAAACCGTGGACTAGGAGCTTAAAGATGGACAGTACTCTTGTAATCAAATTACGAGAGGAGCAGGTAACAGAGTAAGATTTAGATGATTTGCTCAAACCCTATGCTCCACTAGGAGAGAAAGACAACAGTAAGTAAGTAATAGGTGAGGTCCAACTCAAAATAGGATATAAATAGACAAAAAAAGTATTTTTTGTTCTTGGTGATATCTTAAAAATCGTACCAATTATTGACTTTTAGTTCATGCAATATAGTGTCATATGTAAATACTTTGTTTTTTTCCGAAATCAGTTTAAATTAAAATAGTTTGACTTTATTTTTTGATGATGAATTTGATATACATCGAATATTGTTTGTATTCACTGTAATCTCTTGATGCTTGCTCCAAATTTCAAAATAATGGTTTGATGGGTATGTTGCAATATATTAATATATGATTGTGGATAGAAAGTTATTAATCTTCAATGACAGACTTTATCAAATGTTTAGAAAAACTGTTAAGCATATTTCCTTTTCTTCCAAGCTCTTTTCGACTGTTTTTCGAATCCTATGGATCTGATTCATAATTGACAATTTCTAAAAGTAAATTGTGTTAATTTCTTGTTATTAACTATTGGATTGAACTTTTTGATATGAAAGTTGGTTTTTGTAATTTGTTTCTCTCATAAATAAAATGGATATGTCAATTCAGAAAAAACGGAGTTTTTTCTTTAAAACTTTAAAGCTACATATCAATTGAAATAATTAAAAATAATATGCCTTATCAAGTCTATATAATTGTTAATTTTTGGAACCAAAAATTTTTTCTTAAATATCGAATGATAATGAAACTAAAACATATATTACTTTTAAGTATAAGGTATGAATGTAATATATATACTATTATATGTACTTCTTGAAAATTAAAGTAATTAATTAGCAAAATAATGATACTGGTTTTTTATTAAGATAATTTGGGACATCCAATTTCTCTTGTCCTTCTCTTGTTCATTAAGAAAATTTAATCAATATTGCAAACCAACTGTCAATGGAAATAATTAAATTAAGCAGCAGAGAAAGAGATCGGAAAACTTTTATGTATAAATGCGTAATGTATGTATAAATGGAAGAGTGACCCTATAAGTACATAATACTAACTTGCTTTAAGCATGTTAACCAATATGTGTGTTGGGCTGTAGGTACTATTGAACATACTTTTATTTTGAGCATATTTATTATCAGGTTAAAATCCTAAGGTATCACCCTCTGGCCACACTATTCTCTGTTAGCTTTTAACCTTTGTATTTTTGTTTATATAAAATAGACTAACACACTTCAAAAATAAATGTTAATGTAGTACATTTCCATACACTAGAATCTTTATCAACAGTTAACACTAAAAAAGTTTAACATCAGGTCATAGCACTTCTACTCTACTTGAATCTATTTGTAAAAATTTGATACACAAGTCCGATTATGGCCCGAGGGTAAATATTGCTACGTATTAATTTGTTCTATATGGCAGTCAACGTGTTAGTACTCTCACTGCTAGGTAGAGAAAGATCATTAGCATATAGATATTAGCTCATAACAAAGTCGTTGTATATGCTTACTTTACTTCACTATTGTAAAATCGAATGCTATGATTTTTGTTAAATATATTATTTACTTGTTGTATTTGCTTCAATTTTATATAAAAAATTGTGAATGGATTCAGTCTCAGAGTGATGTCTGTAATAATGTTGGCAATATCTTTTTTCTGCACTCCCACAATTTATGCCAACGACGTTAAAGTTTACGCGTTAATGTTAATGTATTGCTTTATGATTTTTATTTAAAATATGTGATTGTATATATATTTCTATATAAATAAATATATATAAAAAAAAATGAAAAACAAAAACTATAATAACATTGTTGGTAAGATATTTCTGCCATTTTGGCTGAGTGTACTTGCGATTGTTGAGCGCTGTCTTAACTTCCAGTATTTCATATGGAGTGAAGCGAAAATGAAGTTGGTAGGTAAATAAAAATTTACTGTATTACTTCATATATTAGTGAATTGTTTAATTATTTAATTAATATAAAATTAGTGTAATTATTAATAATTGTTTTTGCTTTCAGCTAAGCTTTGCATTTTTTTTGCTCTCAGTGCTGCAAATGTTTTGCTGTAGTCTGTGTGAAGCGGGACCGGTGACGCGTGCCACAGCTGTTGTTATAGATGCAGCTCCATCTGTTGTTTCCTATCAGGGATCTTCTCACGAATACACGAAGTTTGTTATCGCACCAATGGGTCGATCTTTGGGGTATGTGGAGCCGTTAAATTTAAATCATACTGTACATCGTACTGCAAAGGTGCGCGATAACTTCGACTTTTTAAATGTAACGCCTATTTATGTACCGCAATAAATTTAAAAACATATTTGAATAAAAAATTTTTACTATTGTGTAATATATAAACCTTCTGCGTTTTCGTTCTTTTCGATAAAGAAGTTCGTAAATATTTTTCAGTCAATGAACTTTGTTTTAAAGTTGTTTAGAAAAGTGTTTGCATATCTCAAGTGATCGTCGCAAATGCCGGTTTCGTTTGAGTTTAATTACCCACACACTAATAAAATTAGATATTAGATTTATAGTGTTGGATTTAAGCTTTAAGAATCAAACTCGACGCTTAAGCAATTGAATAAATTCGCTTAGTTTTAGATTAGTTTTGTTCTTGCAACGCGATCTGGCGGATTAAAGTTTTAAGCAAGTCGATTATTTACAACATCATCGATTAGTTTCTAATTTAAACAATATAGTTCTGCAATAAATTCTTCTTATTACTTATCGTGGGCAACTATTTTGAAGTGTATATTAACTTTATTAAGAGTTACATCATGGATTATCTGAGTGCTTATGACATAGTGAGAGATATATCCCAAATATTTACATATATTGTGTATGTGTTTATATATATAAATATGTTTATTTTATATTATATATATATTAATATATATATTCTATAATTTATATAATATATACATATATTATATATAATATATAATTTATATAAGTACATAGTAGACTCAATAGATGTTTTTTTTTGCTTTTTTTCCTGAATTTTTTAACTTTATTTGTATTATGTTTGTTTTGAGATATAGAAATAAGATTGAGTTTTTGATACTCTAAGAATTTATTTGAATAAATGAATAATAGTTTTTTTGGACAACTAGAATTATTGATTCACTGTATTTAAGTGCTACTCATGACTATAAAGTTATTAAGCTAGTTTTATGATAAACAAACTTCAACAGCATTATTTGCTCAAAAATTATATTTTGTTATATTCAGATCAAAATGTTGTTATCATATAATTTAAAAATATCGCTTTAATACAAAAACTACAATTTTTTGAAATAATATTTTTTAAAGTATAGGCGCTTAAAAGTATCGTGAGAAGATTATATCAGATCAACTAACTTATGTAGAAATCTTTGTTTCGAGACCAGAAATGTATAAACACATATCGGTGATGAAGACGGTGATGTTTTTAATATCAGCAAATATCATCCAAACATTTTTAATATCATCCAAACACTGCATTCTCTTTTCTGGAGACAATCTGGAGACAATCGTAGTTTTGCGTCATTGCGATCTGCGCTTTACCTAACCTTATCAAATAGCTTAAAGGAGCACATATCTATATCTTCAAAGATAGTCAAGTAGTTATTAAAGGATTGTTCACTTTGAAGTTCAAAAATCTTAACTGATAGCTGTAACATTATTCAGTGTTTTGCAAGTAAAAACACGGTAGTGCTTCCTGGATGCAGAGATATCACATCGAAATTTATCACAGCTCGAAAAGATCGGGTCAGTCATTAAATTCTGTGAAAAAAGTTGCACAACAACTAAGTCTCTTATAGAAAAGTGGACTTAAAGCAAAAGATTTCGATGTAGTGGTGACTCTGTGAAACCACTAAGCTTAAAAGCTGCTACGTTTTTGCAAAAGGGATATAGAATAGAGACACGGATCACCATGACATTATCATTTCAAGAAGATGGAATGTGACCACTAGTCTTTGTGATTGTTTACCTTTTATTTGGATAAAATACTATTACTTTATATACATAAATACTACTTCGGGTGGTTTTATCGCTGTCAGATATTAGGAAATTTTGAATAGATGACATTTTTAACTCAATTCGAAAAGCTGAGTTTGTTTGTTTTTGTCATACTTTCGTATTGTTAGGAAAAGTATGGTCATCGTACTTTTAGACCCAGTTCCCAGATGATGTTATGGTTTTTTGGCAGATAATTTTAGTTGTTTACTGTCCCAGAAGTAACAATTGCGCTTGTTGATATATCCATCAAGTATTCAAAACTTGGTGTTAATGATTTTAAATTTTGAATAAACCCCGTAATTTAAAAAAATTTCATATAAACATCATCACCATTTTTATAGTAAGTTGTCACAATTTTTGTAAAATCAGTAGTTATTAGGCGATCCATGCTGTTAAATGGCAGGCCTTTAACCGAACATATGATGTTTTGGATAAAAGTTTTGTTTGCTGTATATTACTCAAATAATGCCGTTCAATCGGGACCACTCTGATAACGTCTACAGTTCCAAAAATAAATGCCACTACTAATGCCACTAATTCTTTTTCTGTTAAATATGAAAAGTGTTGATCTTATAATTAAAAGCCTGCCAATTTTTAACAGTTTCTTTTTATAACTTTATATAAAAAGTTTAAGATATATGTATCTTAAGGTCATAAAGTCTTGAATGACTAATATAACATAAAATAGTTTTTTTAGAAAATCATAATTTGGTAAATGCCTATACATTAAGACTGAAAAGTTTTCGGAAATTCTCATTTAAAATTCGCGCGCTGTATATTTTTCGATA